ACAGGGTTGTGCTGTTACCCAGGTTGGAATGCAGTGGTGCAATCTTGTCTCACTGAACCTCAAACTCCTGGGCTTAAGTGATCCTCCCACCTCAGCCTCCCAAGCAGCTGGGACTACAGGTGTGTGCCACCACGCTCAGCTAGTTTTGTATTTGCTTTTGGTACAAACGGGGTCTTGATATGTTTCCCAGACAGGTCTCAAACTCCTGGCCTCAAGTGGCCCTCCCACTTCAGCCTCCCAAAGTGCTGGGATTATGTACGTTTATGCCCAGCTACGAATGTATTTATTTTAATTGCTTATAGTCTTTCTCTCCTCTAGAATACATGCTTTGTGAGGACAAGGACAGTGATTTTGATTGTTCGCAGCTGTATTTCCCTTCCCTCGAATAGTGCCTGTTACTTTAAATATACTTGTTGAGTGAATGAATGAATGAATGAATGCACACATAGACTCACACACCCGCACACACAGACAAAAAGATGTCACACATATTGACACACATTCTTACTCAGACACTCTCCACAGAATGACACAACCACACACAAAATACACACAACTAACACATTCTCATGCACATGCTCTTGAATGCCATTGAAGGCCTGATTTTTATTTTTCTTCTCTCTCTTTTTTTTTTTTTTTGAAACACGGTCTTGCTGTGTCACTGAGGCTAAATTGCAGTGGTATGATCACAGCTCAGTATAACCTTGAACTCCCAGGCTGTAACAATCCCCCCACCTCAGTTTCCCAAGTAGCTAGAACCACAGGTACCCGCCACCAGGCTCTTTAATTTTTTAGTGCGTTGTAGAGACAGGGTCTCGCCATGTTGCCCAGGCTGCTTTCAAATGCCTGGCCTAAAATGCTCCTCCCACCTCAGCCTCTCAAAGCTCTAGGATCGGGTATGAGCCACCTCATCTAGTCTTGAAGTCTACTTTTCATTTAACATGACATTGTGAACATTTCTCATGTGATTATGTAGTATTAGCTTTAATTTTTTCTCCAAATTATTTTAAAAATTTCAAAGAGTCCAAAAGTTGGAAAGAATACAATGGTCACCACAGATCTAACTATTTCCTTTGTGTATGTAATAAATTATATTTCCATGATTTTTGCTGAAACATTTGACAATCACTTGCCAACAGCATGACCTTCATTCCTCAATACTTCGGTGGTCATCTCTTAAAAAGCAACATATTCCAACAATAATATCATTACACTGAAGAGAGCTACTACAATTCCCTAATATTACAGAATTTCAAAGTCATGTAAAATGGCCTTAACCATTTCCCACGTCTTTCTTGTGGAGGTGAGCAGCTCTCAGGAGCTCCAGCCCTCTCAGAGTTTCTGTTCTTCCTTCAACTTCTCTCTCCAGCCCCTTGAGACCAACATTTGGGGAAACTGAAAAGTAGAAACATTTTCTTCCACTCTCTATTGTTCTGTTTTTGTTTTTTTTAAGGTCCCATTTACTCAGTTTTCTTTTATTTGGGAAAAACACCTCCATGTCCACATAATACTCCAAGGTGTGGAGACATATATTGGCATTATGAAATCTGAGCACACCTCCCCTGGGCCTCGGTCCCCTCAGCAGAGCAGAAGAGGGCTCCTGTGCTGGGATCCATGGGGGACCCAGAACTGGCACCTCCTGAAGAAGGCAGCAGGGTAGACCTGAGACCTAGAATGAGCTCACTTCCTTTCCTCAGGGTCAAGAATCAATCCTCTAAGAAGCCCTCTGCCTCAGAAACTCCCTGCTGTCATCAGGTGGTCAAGAAAGTTCCACACAGCACGGAGACCCAACCACTCCACCATCCTCACTGCCATGGACAGAGCCCAGGTGAGAGCCACCCCTGCTCCTCCCCTGTCTCCCACAGCCTCAGCACCATCGTCTTCCTCAAGCCTACCAGGACTGAGCTCATCACGCCCTCTCCCTGTTTGTGTCAGTCACACTGGGTCCCCCACATACTCTGCACTTGAATCCTCACAAGGCTCTGCACACCCCTATTCTGTCTGCATCATCCTTCCTCCCCAACTCCAGAAATCTTCCCACTGCACCCCCTGGAATTCTCAGCCCATGATCAGCAAAACCTCCACAGCCTCTCTCAGGATGTCCCTGCACCTCGCAGCTCCAGCAGAAACCTGGGTTTCCGGAGGACACAGACCCTTATGTTCCTTGAAAATTCTGGATATTAGACTTTGTCAGATGGATAGGTTGCAAAACTTTTCTCCCACCTTGTAGGTTGTCTGTTCACTCCGATAATAGTGTCTTTTGCTGTGCAGGAGCTCTTTTGTTTAATTAGATTTCATTTGCTAATTTTGGCTTTTGTTGCAATTGCTTTGGACGTTTCCTTTATGAAATTGTTGACTTTTCCTATGTCCTGAATGGTATTGCCTAGATTTTCTTCTAGGGTTTTTATAGTTTTGTGTTTTACATTTATGTCTTTAATCCACCATAGTTAATTTTTGTCTAAGGTGTAAGGAAGGGGACCAGTTTCAATTTTTTGCATATGGCTAGCCAGTTCTCCCAGCACCATTTATTAAATAAGAAATCTTTTCCCAGTTGTTTGTTTTGGTCAGTTTGTCAGAGATCACATAGTCGTAGATGTGCGGTCTTATTTCTGAGTTCTCTGTTCTGTTCCATTGGTCTATGTGTCTGTTTTTGTACAAGCACCCTGCTGTTTTGGTTACTCGTCTTGTAGTACAATTTGACATCAAGCAGCACGATGCCTCCAGCTTTGTTCTCTTTGCTTAGGATCATGTTGGCTATACAAGCTCTCTTTTTAGTTCCATATGAATTTTAAAGTAGTTTCTTCTAATCGTGTGAGAATGTCAATGGTAGTTTCATGAAAACAGCTGGATCTATAAATTACTTTGGGCAGTATGGCCATTTTAGCGATATTGATTCTTCCTACACATGAGCATGGAGGGTTTTTCCATCTGTTTGTGTCCTCTCCCATTTCCTTGAGCAGCAGTTTGTCATTCTCCTTGAAGAGGTCCTTCATTTCCCTTGTTAGCTGTATTCCCAGGCTGTATTCTGTTTGTTTGTTTGTTTGTTTGTTTTGACATGGCGTTTTGCTCTTGTTGCCCAAGCTGGACAGCAATGGCACCATCTCAGCTCACTGCAACCTCCACCTCCCAGGTTCAATCTATTATCCCTCCTCATCTTCCCGAGTACCCAAGATAACAGGTGCATGCCACCATGCCCGGCTAATTTTTATATTTTTAGGAGAAACTGGATTTCACCAAGTTAGCCAAGCTGGTCTTGAACGAGATCTCAGGTGATTTGCCCGCTTCAGCATCCCAAAGTGCTGGAATTACAGGCATGAGCCACCACACCCGGCTCTCTTATTCTGTTTGTGGCAATTGTGAATGGGAGTTTATTCATTATTTGACTCACCGCTTGTGTACTGTTGCTGTATATAAATGCTTGTCACTTTTGCACATTGATTTTATATCCTGAGACTTTACTTAAGTTGCTTATCAGCCTAAGAAGCCTTTCCGCTGAGACAAGGGGGTTTTCTAGATACAAAATCATGTCATTTGCAAAGACAATTTGACTTCTTCTCTTTTTATCTGAATATCCTCCCTTTCTCTGACCTGATTGCTCCTGCCAGAACTTCCAACACCATGTTGAAGAGGAGTGGTGAGAGAGGGCATCCTTGTCTTGTGCTGACGTTAAAGGGAAGGCTTCTAGCTCTTGCCCATTCAGTATGATATCGGTTGTGGGTTTGTCATTGGTGGCTACTATTATGTTGAGGTATGTTCCTTCAATACCTAGTTTGTTGAGAGTTTAAAAATATAAAATGCTTCACGAACTTGCATGTCACCCTTGTGCAGGGACCATGCTGATCTTCTGTGTATCGTTCCAGTTATATTCTGGGTGCTGCCAAAGTGAGAAATGATCACAAGTTCTTAAAAGTGGAGATAACTGAAGAAATGTAGGTGAGAGGGAGTGTTGGATTTCATCTGCGTCTAGTGAAATGTGACTGTCTCTGTCCTTTATTCTTTAATGAAGTGGTAAAATGCATTACAGATGTAAAGTTAAAATTTTCCTGTGTTCTTGGGATACATAACCTGGGCAGGATATTTAATTTGTTTATAGCTCATTGGTGGACACCTTCTACTACTGTTTTTCTCAGTATTTTTATGTCTAATTGCTTAGAAGTGACTACCCTATCATGCTTTTCTCTTATGTATTCCCTAGCTGACTCCAGAATCAATGTTATGTGTGCATAAACAATAATGAATTTACTAGGTCTCTCTATGTTTCCTTATTCTCTTGGATATTATGTATAAGTTCAGTAAACTTCTTTGAAGGTTTGGTAAAACTTATCTTCAAAACAGCCTGGATATGCCTGAAGGGAAATAACATTTTAAAACCATTTTAACTTCTTTACTGATAGTAAGTTCTTCCCATTGGCATAATCTTGTTCATCGTTTCAAAATTATTTAAACCTCTACTATATCTTTAGTGGCATGTGTATCTGTCGTAATGCTATCTTATTCTGAATTACCATTTCCTGTTTTGTCTCCAACCAAAGTAACAGCTGCTTTTGGCAGGCTGGGCCCTCAACAGTGGCAGCTGCCAGGTCAGCCTTGGTGAGGGGTGATGCAATTGCTGTGCCCATGCAGTGTCCATCCCAGCCACCACGGCCACTTTGTGCAGGGACTCCATGAGCAAGCCCAGTGTGGCTGAGTGACATTATCCATCAAGCCATCTCGCCCACCTGATCACAGGGAGCCCCATCCCCAAAAGACCCTCTAGTAGGCATCCACACAACCACTATCTTCACACATTCTGTGTATAGTAAGAGGTCTCTGCGTACCTTTCTCCTCTAAGTCCCAATTTTTTAACTCTATTTTCCCCAAGTTCATGACTGGCCAGCCAAGCCCAGAGCCACTGCCCATGACTCATTCATTCATGCACTACTGGGGCATCACTTTACATCCTCCACCTCCCATGGGCTTGTCTGTAGTTTGATTCCTGGTTCCTGGCTCGACATCCATTCCCAAAGCTTTTCTGGTGTCAGCTACCAAGCCGACTGCTCTTGTTGTCAATTCTCCTCTTTATGTGTATTTATTTCCTGGAAAAATTGCACTGATTTTTTCAATGCAGCATTTGCAAGGATGTGCAGTAGGAGCGATTCTTCTTATTGTAGATGGAATTGCTTCAAAACACCAGAAATGTATATTTGAGTGAAGGACAACATGCATGGAGAAAAGAGGACAATCCTTAAGCAGACAGTGGATTTTCACAAAGTGAACCCTCCGGCAAACAACACCCACATCCAAGCACAGCAATCATAGCCCCAGGGAAACACCTTTGGGTCCTACTCAGTCATAAACCAGCCTCCCCCACCCCAGAGGAGCCACTCTTGATTTCTAACACAGATTTGTTCTTCCAGTTCTGGCTGAATGGCATTACACAGTCACCATCATGCCCTGGGGCTCATCATCTGTGTGTGTGGTCGTAGGCTAGTCCTTCCCAAGGCTGTCAAATGCTGCACTTTATAAATAGCTCACACTCTCTGTCCCTTCACTGTTGATAGACAATTGTGTTATATCCAGATTTTACAAATCATGCTGCTGTGAATATTTTCATATGTTTTAGCACACACATACATGCATTTCTATTGGTTTATAACTAAGAGTGCAATTGCTGGGTCATAAGTGAGTAGATGCTTGGCTTAGTCTCTCAATAAACAAGTGTCTAGTCATAAACAAACAGTAGAGGAGGGTAAATCTCTTATTTTAGAAATTATTCAGATAATAAATGAGGAAGGAATGAGATACTGAGACTATAATAACTGATTTGCAACACATAAGGAATTAACAGATTTAGCCATTGAAGAGCAATGGCAATGAACAACACAATAAAGAAAAAAAAACTAATGTTAGGTTCTTCCTCTTGATGGAAGAACACAGTAGAGTACCGTCAAACAAGAGCAAGTTGTTTGAAAAGGAAATCAAGCCTGAACTAAGCTAACCTCCATAGCCAGTCACCGATTTAGAGGCAATACAGATCATAGAAATACATATCCAACTACACCTTGGGAAGCAGGCAGCAAAATGTGTATTATGGGAAACTCTACCACACAATATATATTTTGGGGAAGAATCTATAGAATAAAAGAGAACAAAAGCATATTTCTAAAGGTAAAACTAAATTATAATTTGGGATGATAAAAATATAAAATACAACAAAGAAAGGATGACCCTAAAAGTCAGGATGTGTTTTCATTTGGGGGAGGAAAGAGTTTATTGCTGAGCTGGAGCAAATGATGGGGATTTTGGTTTGCCCCGCAAATGTCTATCCTTGGTGGTTAATGGGTGTTTACTTTTTATTAAAGGACACAAATTTTAGACAGTTTTTTCCCTTTGGAGTCCTACATTTCATTTTATGACACAAAGCCTACTGAAAAAAATAATTCAGAGAGTATGGTTACTGTTTGGAACAAAGCCTCCTCCTCATCCTGCTCTCTGGACACTGAGCACCCAGGACCACCAGCAGCCCCAGGACCCCCAGCAGGGGTGACCTCACTTCCAAGTGTGCATGCAGTGCACATCACCAGAGGCAATGTACAGGTCTACTCCTTGACTCCTGGAAAAACCTGACAGGACAGGGCTGAGGGGAAGCCTTCCCCGCCGTCTGCAGGCTCTTGGCCATCAGTGTAGAGGGAACGTGTCCTCACCTCTCCACACGTCCCTTTATGGCCAGAGCCTCCTCTCTGCATGGGGAGGAAGCCCGGGCTCTTCCCCTGAACACGGTGACATGGATCACCCCAAAGGTGGAGATGACACCATTCCTCCCCCAGCAACCTCACGCTTCTTTGGTTTACAGGAAAATTGATGCAGGCTGGTGTCCAATGAAGAAGTCCCAGGTGCCTAGGAAGGAGAGGACTGTGCGCGAGCTGCAAAAGGGAGCGCGTGGACCACCAGGTGGCGCTGCTGCGCCGCTCCTGCTCCCAGGAGGTGGACGCCCAGGATGGGCTCTCAGGTGGAGAGGGGGATGTCATTGCTCATCCTCCAGCTTCCAAGTAGAAACCTCCCTGCCCAGCCCATCTCGTTCTCCCTGAATCCTCAACACTAACGAGGACTGTCTCCTTCTCACCTCCCTGGACTGGACTTTCTATCACTGGAAAGTGCATGTGATTTCTAGTTTCAGCATGTCCTGGCTTATTGTGCTGCCAGGAAAATAAAATCAAAATACACGTTGAATAAATAACAAATAACACATAGTGAGCAAAGGCTTTGGCCTCCCAAAGTGCCGGGATTATAGGCATGAGCCACCAGGCCTAGCCAAGTTAACTTGTATTTTTTATCATATAGATTTTTTTGAAAAAAAAAAAAAAAAAAAGGAAATCACATATATGAATATCTTTCTTCTGTTATTACATACTATATTGCTTCAGAGGTAAAATAAATTATCATACTTTCAAATTATGTTCAATTTCATTTTTTGTTACTTCTGTGACTTATCTTTACATATCAATTTCTTAGTCTAAATTTTGTTTTTATATTTAATGTAAAATACGAAATTACATTTCCTTAGTATAAACCAGGTTATCTCACACATTTTATGAAATTATTTTTGTTTCCTCTTACTTTATGACATCTGTTCTTTAAAATTTTTACATCTATTTCTGCGTTTTCTACTATATTCTATGAATCTATATACCTATTTTAAACCAGAATCATGAATTAAATTACTGTTGATCTATCTATCTATCATCTATGTTTGCAATCTAATGGGAGTGGTCTTGCTCAAATAGACTTCTGTTTTTTCAAAATATGTTTTGGATATTCTTGATCAGTTCATGTTATTCCAGATGAATTTCATGTTAATTTTAAATAAACAATTATTCAAAGTTCATTGGAATTACATGAAGTCAAGAAAAATAGGTGAGGAAGAAGTGACATTTTTATGATATCTTCTCACCAAGAAATGTAGAACATGCCTGAATATGTTCAAGATGTTTTCCATATAGTCTAAGAAAATACTTTGTGTATTTTTATTTTTATTTATGCTTATGTTTTTAATTGATAAGGTTTTGCTATGATTACTTATAAATAGCCTTAAGACTGGGCAAGGTGGCTCATGCCTATAATCTCAGCACTTTGGAAGATGCAGGCAGGTGGATCACCTGAAGGTCAGGAGTTTGAGACCAGCCTGGCCAACATGGTAAAACCCCGTTTCTACTTAAAATATAAAAAATTAGCCGGGCGTGGTGGCATGTGCCTGTAATCCCAGCTACTTGGGAGGCTGAAGCAGGAGAATTGCTTGAACCCAGGAGACAGAGGTTGCACTGAACTAAGATAGTGCCATTGCACTCCAGCATGGGCAACAAGAGTGAAACTTTGTCTCAAAAAAAAAAAAAAATAGGCCGGGCACTGTGGCTCACACCTGTAATCCCAGCACTTTGGGAGGCTGAGGCGGGCGGATCACGAGGTCAAGAGATCGAAACCATCCTGGCCAACATGGTGAAACCCCGTCTCTACTAAAGAATATAGAAATCAGCTGGGTGTGGTGGTGGGCGCCTGTAGTCCCAGCTACTCAGGAGGCTGAGGCAGAAGAATTGCTTGAACCCAGGAGGTGGAGGTTGCAGTGAGCCCAGATTGCACCACTGCACTCCAGCCTGGTGCCTGGCGCCTGGTGACAGAGCAAGACTCTGCCTCAAAAAAAAAAAGAAAATAGCTTTAATACGCCACTACACTGCTGTCTAATTACTATTACCAAGAACGGCTTAAGTTGTTCAAGGCAAGAATCACTCTTTTTGGTAGCTGTCTCCAGCACACATCTCTTAGTATGAATGGTTGTAAAGCACGATATGTACCTTGCTCTTTAAGTTTATAGCTGAGTAGTTCTGTTGTTTTTATGAATAGGACCTTTTATTCATGAAGTTAAAAGTTTGTCTTGTTTGACATGTAGTAAGGTTATTGATTTTAAATATTTATTGAACATTCAGCACTTCATTCATTTGAATAATTTTTAAAGCTAATGTATTTAGATTCTGCAGACATGCAACCACTTAAGATGAGCAAATAATGGTACTTTTTTAGATTTAAATCAAATAATTATTTGTATTACTTGTCTAGTGTTACTGCAGGAGACAGAGCTTCACAAATAATGTCAATAATATTAGTGATGGTGGAATTCCTCGGTCTAGTTCTGATTTATAAAATAATGTTTTGAGGATGGTCTTGTCACTTATGCCTATAATCCCAGCACTTTGAGAGGCTGAGGTGGGAGGATCACTTAAGCCCAGGGGGTTTGAGACCAGCCTGGGCAACACAGGGAGAGCCTATCACTACAATAAATTAAAAAATTAGCTGGGTATGGTGTTGCACACCTGTGGTCCCAGCTACCTGGGAGGCTGATGTGGGAGATCCCTTAAGCCCAGGAGTTTGAGGGTGCAGTAAGTTATGATCATGCCACTGCACTCCAGCCTGGGTGACAGAGAGAGACTCCATCACAGAAAAAAAGAAAAAAAGAAATAATTTTATTTCTGTGTCCTTTCTATTTTTATTACATATGTCCTGCTTTCCTTCTCCACCACATCAGTCATTCCACCAGGTGAGCCCATGTTTACAACCTGAATGAATTCTTCCCTATTTTTGCCCATGCTCAAATAATCATATAGAGACATATATGCATAAACATATACAGGGACTTTTTTGATCAATATAAGATCATGCTAGGAATACTTGTATGCATCTTGCTGTTTTTATTCCACAAAACCTCACAGAAGTCCCTCCAGGACAACTGGGATTGCTCTAATTATTTCTTTTTAATGCTGATCCCATAGTGAGTATGAGGATGTACTATCTTTTAATTGTTTTGTGGAAAGAAGCAAAGCTTCTTGTGAACAGAGGTTCTCTATTATATAGAGGGCTTTCTCTGCCTACAAAGTGACTAGAATGTTACTAGGCATACGATAGGCAGGTAGCAAATACCCCTTGAATAGAGCCAATAAATGGAATGGGATACACTCTAGACTGCTTTCTCCATAGGTCAAGGTCAGGTTTATTTAAGCAAAGACCTGAGACTTTCAGATAAGCCAAAGGTGGCCATAAGGGTAGGAAATATTTGGAAATAATATGATCAAGAGATAGAATCAGATGGCTTATCAACCCTATTAAGATAATCAGTCCGAAGTTGGTTTCAAAGAATAACTTTAACCAAATTATGAACTCCTTATCTTCTTTACCTTGAGAGTTAGTGGTAAGCTGGAGGGAGTGAGGCAGGGGCTGTGTAGGAAGTCTCTGAGAAGATTAGGGTAAACCACAGTGGGACTGGGGGCAAGGAAGAAAGCAGCAGTGGTTGTTTGGGTGGTAAGGAGCTTTTGAAATGTTCCAGACTAGATGTAAACAGTGATTAATTTGTCATAGTGAGCCCCTAGCTAGGTAAGGAAGTTGTATAAGCACAACTTTTTATTTAATGAACAATCTACTTCCTCCCACTATATTTAGCTGAAATATTTCCCTTAAGTGTTTTAAATGATATAAGAAAATCCAAAATCTTAACCATGTATCAGAGTCCGGGCATATTCAAAGATTAAGGTACTATAATTTTTACTATTCTTTATTAGCACCAAAGTTGGCTATTTTTCAGACTGATGACAGAAATTAGAATTTGGATATACATATGTTTAGGTGCCCAAGCATCTTTTCCACCAAATCTCTTCACTCTGATTCAGGGCTGGTGGAAGTTAGTATCAAAGTTCTTTTTTTTTCTCCAGGAAGACAATAGAAAGTCACAATAGCCAAATAACTTTAAATCTGTTAGTTCTGGTCAGTTATGACTTGAAAGCTTAATTCTTTTTATTATTTATCACTCATTAAATACTTTGGCTCTCCTTTATTAAATGTTAAATCACTGAAAGTGGTCAAGTTCTTGCTATTTCTTTGAAATGGCAAAGTGTAAGGGAAAAGAGAAAGTGGCCCATTTCCTTGTTAATGTGGCATTCAAACAGAACACAGCATGCTCAACAGACAGGTCAACTGGCTGCTGTACAATTATTCATAACACAAGAGCCATGATTAGGGAGAAAATGTCTCCTTATAGCACCATTGATGTTTCAAGGCAGGAATTCCCTTCTCCCGTAGGGCATGGTTGGCATGTGCTTTGAAAATGCTTAAATATGCTCCTGGTCCCTTCTCTCATCCAATGACAGTGCTGATGTGTTGTCAAGCTTGGTGCTGCCATAGCAAGAGCCCACAGGCTTTCCAAGGGACCTCATTTGCCACAATCACTGCCCGTGTTGATGTTTCCTCTCCATCTCTGCCAAGACTGTTTGAAGCCGTGTTCATAAGATGGTTACTGGAGAAGCCTGAACACCTTAGGATAAGGGACCATGAAACTAAACAAAGTTCTGCACTTAAGCCACATTTAAGGAATCTTGTTGATGGTGAATCTGAACTTTTTTCTCTATGTTCAAAAGCATTATGTATTTCTGCGACATTAGAAGTCTGGCTTTTCTTCCAGTTCAACCAATGAGAGTCATCTTTAGCTCCACAGGATGACAAACTCCATGAGAGTAGGCCGATGATGTGGCTTGGTTACTACTAGAGCCCCAGCGCCCTACAGAGTGGATAGCATCTGGTCAGCACTCAATATTTGCTAACTAGATGAATGGAGCACTATCACTAAGCATGTCTGATTGCTGATAGGTGTTTTACACACAGAAGGAAGTTAGCATCCACTGTGCAAAATGAGACAATACAAAGAGGACAAATTAAAATTTTTCCTCTTACCTTATCTCTACTGCTTCAAATTAGCTGAACTCTAGGGCATTTTTTTTGCTCCAGACGAAATATCAAGCCAGTTTTCTAAGTTCCCTTAACGTACACAATCTCCTTGAAGGGTGCACCTAAAAAAAAAACAAGGCAACAAAACAGCGACCCCACACATGCGTTAGTTAAAACTTTCTTCCACCTGGCTTCAGTACAGAATAGCAAGCTTTGTACAGTGGATTATTGATTTGAGTGAGAATAGGAACATGTTGCTAAAACCATGAAAAACAACAAGAAAACAGCAGAGCATTTTTTCCCCATCATGTCTAGGAGCAGAGAACAAGTGTAGACAATACGTTGAACTTTGACTCCTGAGCCATCTCTCAAGCTGACGCTGCCAAATATATCCAAAACACATCCTCTCATGGATTCTGAAATAAGGAGCTCCCGTTTAGCAAAACCTAGCAAAGAACAGCTCAGTTCACATATTGTATAAATTTTAGGTT